ACGTTCGAAGCAGGTACTAGGCTGCGAGTGTATGGCTTGATAGATAACTTAACACAAGTTGGAATATCCAACGACACGGATATCTTAGACTTCTCCGAAAACACGTGCACTTGTCGTGAGTTCCAACTAAATCGTATGCCGTGCGTTCATGCAACCCGTGCTGCTTACTTGAGAGGTAAGTCATTGTACGATCTATACTCACCGTATTGCACATCCGAATACTGGAAGAGTGCCTACAGAGAAGCTATATATCCTGTTGCGCATGAAGTGGATTGGATTGTTCCAGCCGAAATTACATGTACTCCTATTATGCCCCCAGTGTACGTCGTCCTCTAGGTAGACCACCCACACGACGTAAGCGATCTAGACACCAGTGTACCACACGACTCAGGAAATACACTCATTGCGGTGGACTTGGTCATAACCTGACCACATGTTCGAACCCCACTGTACCACGTCCGATATAAACAGCATTTTGTATTTGAGTTGTTGAAGTTGTAAGTTAAGTGTTCCCCCGATGTCGTTTGTATATGACAATGTAAATATTGTAATACTGTTTTCATTCTCTTACGCATAAACAGTACTCTTTCTTATGTTCACAATTACAGTACGCAAAGAGGCAAACGTACAACATAACACCCTCGAACCAAATTACAATTTTGTTGTGCATAACATTGTTCCCATTGTTCACAAAGTAAATTGAATGTACGGAATAGGAAACGTTAAACCAAAATACATGTTTCCTTTTATATGCATATTACGAACACATCATTTTTAGTCCATAACACTGTTGACATTGTTCACAAAGTACATTAAATGTACACATGATGGTGTGTTCGTTCATCCAAAATACATGTTATAATTCATATGCATATTACGGACACAGAAAATTTGCCAGTAAACCCTGACAGTTCAGTTGTCGTTCCCGACAAATGGTGTCTGCCATTCTCGACAGTTGTTCCACGGTCCGCTTAACAAAATACAAAATACACATAACATACCAACGGGAGTTTCCTAAATGCTACGCAATTGGTACATACGTAACAAGATTCATTCCTTACAAAAAAAGACTATACATACATACGTTAGTCCATAACACTGTTGACATTGTTCACAAAGTACATTAAATGTACACATGATGGTGTGTTCGTTCATCCAAAATACATGTTATAATTCATATGCATATTACGGACACAGAAAATTTGCTAGTAACCCTGACAGTTTAGTTGTCATTCCCGACAAATGGTGTCTGCCATTCTCGACAGTTGTTCCACGGTCCGCTTAACAAAATACAAAATACACATAACATACCAACGGGAGTTTCCTAAATGCTACGCAATTGGTACATACGTAACAAGATTCATTCCTTACAAAAAAAGACTATACATACATACGTAGAAACCCACACACGCAACAAAGTCAGACACTTCACTCGGAGCTAACACTTGAACCGTCTTCCCCACCGTCATCATCCGAATCATCCGAGCTGATGACAATTACCTTGGACGATGGAACGCGACCCTGCCCTTCATCCTCGTGACATTCAACTTCGTCTGTAGTATTCCCAAAAAAATAAAATAAGTGAAAGGTAAATTAAAAATGTTCATGACATGTACGTCCCTGAAGAACGCATCGTATGTACGCTGCTGTGATTATTTGGTAGAGGTCCAGCACAGAAGCCGGGGCGATCGTTCACCCACCCACTGACATTGCCAACCACCTACTGTCCACATTTCTTACCCACTGCCATTGCCAACCACCCACTGTCCACAACAAAATATTTTCACTACATCAACCAACAATCCAATGCGAGATACCTTATATCATGTAAATAATTACCACGAAAAATATTTCTCCTTCACACAAAACGAGTATCAAATACTAACAACCAACAACAACCAATACACACGAGTCAAAACTGGAATCTGGGACCAAAGAAAATAAAATAAAAAATCTAATTCATATTAACAAACAGCAAAATTTGACGTTTACATTAATATAACACCTTCACAAACATAAATAAATAAACTCAATGATTCAACAAGAATAAATAAGTGTTGTATTCCTTGCAAAATTAATTCCAAAGATAAATTCAAAAAATGGAATACCTTTTGCATAATGTTGATTTGCAATTGGATAGAAAATGAGATACAAAAGGCGGTGGGCGATTCCTCCAACGCTTCTAATATCGTCGATGGTCGGAAGCAGGAGAGATTTTCGTGAGGGAAAGGAGTTAGTCAGCGGTCGATGTAGTGAGAGAGAGGAGTGTGTTTTAGAGTTTTAGGGATTCCGTTTTCGGTGAGGGAGGAGAGTTCGCCGGCGGTGGTTGATTTAGTCACAGAGAGGAGTGAGTTTTAGGGATTTACGGATTTCGTTTTCTCTTACTTTCCTTTATCATTGACGGCATTTTGTTTTTCATTTCCAGGTGGCCGAAAGCAGGTGGTTGTCGGTGAGAGATTTCGGTGACGGGGAGGAAGTACCCGACGATCGATTTAGTGAGAGAGAGGAGTGAGTTTGAGTTCTTGTGATAGAGAGGAGCGAGTTTGAGTTTTAGGGATTTCCTTTTCACAGATTCGTTCTCTCTTTCTTTCCTTTTCACAATTGACGGCTTTTTTTTTCTTTTCCAAGATTTGATATGAGACTTACACAATTATTAAAAAGGAACATGCAGGGTATTCAAGTTCTTTTGAATGGTAAAAATGAACAAATATGACACTTTTGTAAAGAGTTTTAAAAGGTGATATTTTTGTAAATGACAACTAAAAAAATGACATGGGGTGTAATTTCCTCAATAAACAATTGCTTTCTTGTTTAAGTCTCGATAAACTTTTAACCATTGATTTAAGCATAATCACACAATTTATTGCGGCATTCTTTTCTAGGCATAATATGGCAAAGTTTATCAATAAATAGTGTGATTATGTTTAAATCATCTTTAAAAATTTTGGTTATCAATAAACTTTTCCAATCATTATAACCACGTTGCAAAATTTGTGATGCTAAATTAGAGTGAATTGCACAAATGATCACTGAACTTTGTAAAAAGTTTTCAATGGGTCACTGAGCTTTAAAAATCACTTAAATGATTATTGAACTTTGCAAAAGGTTTTTACAGGGTCACTGAACTTTAAAAATCACCTAAATGGTCATTGAACTTTGCAACAAACTTCCACGAGGTTACTGAACTTTGCAGAAGGTTTCCACGAGGTTACTGAATTTCTTGACCTCATGGAAACCTTCTGCAAAGTTTAGTGATCATTTAGGTGATTTTTAAAGTTTAATTATCCCATAGAAATTTTTTGCAAAGTTCAGTGACCATTTAGGCGATTTATAAAGTTCAGTGACTCCTTAGAAACCTTTTGTAAAGTTCAGTGACCATTTGGACAATTCACTCGCTAAATTACCATTGGCTAAAGTTTCATGGATGGTTGATAATTAATAAAATTGCGATGTAAAATCATCACTTATTTAAAAGTATAACAAGTTAGAGAAAAGTAAAATCCCATAAATGAGTAAGGATAAGATGATAAAAAAAAAACCTTTCACGTTGGTGCATGAGATACGATTCATTTGTATGCTATAATAATATGTGATTCATTTACAATTTTATATTTATATGAAATCATTTTTATCGATTAATTTTTGGTTGGTCGAAAAAATCTTGACGAGAAAGCCATAGTTTCTTGTAGAGTAATAATATGTGATTTATTTAGAATTTTATATTTATATAGCCTGCTCATCACATTGAACTTGAAATTAGAATCTCAAACCTCTGTAATTAATTAGCATAATTAAGTGAGCACATGGTACATGCCACAAATATAGGCTCTAAAATGTTAAATGCTCATCCTCTTGAGTTCACATTGGTTTTGGTTGTCCAAGACGTTCTACTTTGACCTTAAGGCAACAACTTTTGATCTAGTGTTCTTACACTAATAATTTTATGCAGTACTCTGTCTTGAGAAAATACTAATTGAAATATTTTTGAAAGAGCGAGCCCTATATCTAAGGGTGTTAATGAGCCAAGTTGAGCTTACTCGAACTTTTTAAGTCCGACTTTTTTGGCTCGAGCTAAGTCGAGCAAAAGCTCTGCCAAAAAATCGAGGTTTGACCAAAGCTTCCGGCTCGGTATTTTTTTTCATGAAGGCAACAGCCTGCTGCATTTTTTTTCCAGCTGGCTTGAGCTCGGCCCTACACCCCAAGATGGGGCTAGGCCCAAGCCTAGCCTCGAACCAAGCCGGCTTGAGCTTTTTTCGGGCTAAGTCATGGATAGTTCGAGCCGACGAGTCAATTTGTCATCCCTAACTATATCTAGCACATAAATGCGATGATATGAAAAATATATTGCAACTGATCTCAACTAATGTAAAATAGTTTTTTTGTTATGAAAATCTATTTTTCAATAAAAAGTATTCTACTTTATGACATAAACTATAACATTGAGTAGGATGAAACTAAGTCGGCCGAAGTGAGTCAAATGTGTAGGGTTCACTCCAGCTAATTAAGTATAAATCGAGTTCGAACAACATTACTATATACATGTGGAGAAGCTACAATTCCACTTTGTTTAAGATATTGGAAAGAAAGGAACGTTTATCTTATACTATTTCGTCTTTTACTCGGCACTTCACTTGGATACCATTTGAACATGCATAAATTCATATCTCCACCACAAGTACTGCTAAAATATTATAAATTTGTATATAATAAACTAGTTTTTTTATTAGAAAGCATGAAGTCTAAGAATAAATGAAAATAGAATAGAGATTGGAGTAAAAAATAAAAATACAAAAGATAGAGTTGAGAAATGCATGTGCTTGTAGGGTATATTAGATTAGCAGTTGGTACTTCAAGTTGGAACAATTGCATGTGCATCTTCTGTTGTATGTGACCTAAATCAATTTGACTTACTTCTTGTGCTTCTTGCAAACTTGTCATTTTCTACTATGCATACATGCCATATCCCCCATTCCTAGTTCCTATTTTTCTATATAAAGAAAGCCCTGACCCCATTTTTTGTACTAAACCCTCAACGATTGAGTCTCTCTCTCTCTCTCTCTCGTCTTTCTTAATGGCTATCCAAGTAGTCACCATTGTTTCTCTTGTTTTCTTCTTATGCATCCATGGAATCTATTGTGATTATGGAGGATGGCAAAGTGGTCATGCTACTTTTTACGGCGGAGGCGATGCATCAGGCACGATGGGTATGTGAAATGCTTCTCAATATTATATCCTAAAGACGTGCCAGTACGCCATATTGGATAGTAGTATAATTTTTTAGCTTATTTTTCTTCATTAGTATTTTACAATCTACCTAACAAATAAACCAGAGTTCTTGATTGAACGCTACATTTTATCAAATAAACCATATTTTGTCTTGTATAATTCCTAAAGGAAAGAATGTACATTGTTGGTAATGCAGGAGGAGCTTGTGGCTATGGCAACTTGTATAGTCAAGGGTATGGCACTAACACCGCAGCACTAAGCACTGCTCTGTTCAACAATGGCTTGAGCTGTGGCTCGTGCTACGAGATGACTTGCTCCAATGACGCGCAATGGTGCCTCCCGGGGACCATAACCGTCACGGCTACAAACTTCTGCCCTCCTAACCCTGGCCTGTCTAATGACAATGGTGGGTGGTGCAATCCTCCTCTCCAGCACTTTGATTTGGCTGAGCCTGCTTTCTTGCAGATAGCCCAATACCGAGCTGGAATTGTTCCGGTTTCATTCCGAAGGTACTAATCACGTTATAATATCATATATAAGAACATATTCTAATACCATAGTCTAAATAGTTGAATAATAAAAACCAACTTGCTTGAAAAAAAGTCAGTGTAAACTGGGGTCACATGGATTCCAATGGACATTAAATGTTCATAAAACATGGAGTAACACCTATCATTGACTATATTAGTTTAAAATTTTTAAACGAATCCTTAAGTATCATGTCATCTACCCATAGTCGATAGAAGTTATAGTGCTTGCTTGTTGATGTAGCGTTACCAAAATACGGCTTGATCGTTGATGTGGCCGCTACGTCAATGGTGGGCAATTGTTATCCTATCCATTATGAACAGGAGATTAGCTTCGTTATATGATAATAGATAAGACTAATACTTAGATTTAGTGGGCAATGGAGTTGAATTACATTATTCAATAGATAAAAATCAAAGAGTTCAAGTTTTGTCGGTGTCAATTTGTGAAAAATATTACAAAGAAAAGAGACAAAGGTTGCTATGATTAGACCTTCTGAAAATATATTTCTGATATTATTTTTAATTGTTGATCTTGACAGGGTGCCCTGCACAAAGAAGGGAGGAATAAGGTTTACAATAAATGGGCATTCCTATTTTAACCTTGTATTGATCACAAACGTTGGTGGTGCTGGGGATGTCCATTCTGTATCAATCAAGGGTTCTAACACAGGATGGCAGCAGATGTCTAGAAACTGGGGGCAAAACTGGCAAAGCAACTCATACCTCAACGGCCAAAGCCTCTCGTTTCAAGTCACGACCAGTGATGGAAGAACTGTCACTACCTACAACATTGCCCCAGGGAATTGGCAATTTGGACAAACATTTGAAGGTGGTCAATTTTAGGCTAGACCATATTGGACACGAAAATTAAGTCTTGTTCGTTGTCGTGATGGCTCTACTGCAGTGGTGGCTGGTTAGCCACCCGTTAGGGGCCTACATATAGATACATATAGTCAGCTATACATATATGTTCAAAGTGCTGACTAGGATTGTGTGAAGCCACAGTTTCATATAAAATCTGTACATTGAATCCCTGACTCTGAAAGTCTAATCAGGGCTACTATTATAAATGATTTTCCTTTTCCATATCGAATTTATTCCGACGGTGTTTTTACTTGTTTCTTAAGCTGAAATGGACATAACAACTGACAAACTTTACTTATGATAAAGAAAGTAACTTACTGCAACTTAATGTTCTGAGGATGTTTGGCCTAATATATAAGTAAAATTTTCAAAGAAGCGTTATTGTCCAGTTTCATTGAATATCTCTATATATTTGGATGCTCAATATTCAATTTAAAAGTAAACAAAAAGTGAAAAATAAAAAGAAAGAAAAAAAGAAAAAAGAACAGGGAAATCTAGAATGCTCAAAACTTGCCCATAATTGGGTGCTCAATATTAAATTACTTCCATATTTCTCACGCTAAATAGAATCACATTCTTTCAATTGTTCACATACAAATATGAATACGAGTCAACAATCCTGGGCTGCTTTCAGAGTTTCCATGAGTGAAATTAATGAACAAAACTATTCACATGCTTTTGTTACCAAACTAATTCACAAAATATTACTATAAATAACAATAGCAAGCCATTTAATCAGAACAATATCATTTCCAACTTAGTAAAAAATTATCATGGGCGTCGTAGCTTGTGACGTCGAGATAACTTCCTCGGTCCCTGCAGCTAGAATGTTCGAGGCTATTGTCCTCGACTCGGACAACCTAATACCCAAGATCATGCCTCGGGCTATTGAAAGTGTCGAAATCCTCGAGGGTGATGGAGGGGTTGGAACCATCAAGCTCGTTAATTTTGGCGAGGACAGCCAGTTTAAGAGTGTGAAGTACCATGTCGATGCTCTTGACACAGAAAATTTCACACAGAGTTACAGCATTCTTGAAGGGGAAGTTCTGATGGGAATTTTCGAATCAATCACTTATCATATTGAAATTTTAGCTAATGCTGATGGAGGATGTATATGTAAGAGCAGAAGCATTTATAACACCAAGGGAGATGTTCAGATCACTGAGGAGAAAATTAAGGAAGGCAAAGAGAAGACCATGGCCATGTTCAAGGCCATCGAGGCCTACCTTCAAGCCAATCCAGATGCCTAAAAATACATTTGGCGATGTGGATTGGACCGTGCTTGGCAATATTAAGAGAAAAAATTCTTGTTCATTGTAGTGTTCAGTCTTGTTTAATATAACGAGCCAAATATTCTTTTAATTAAGATGATCAAATCTGCAGTTTAGATTTTCCGAATTGAGTACTGATAGCAGTGTACTTATGGTTCTCTTTAATTTTATGTTTCACTTATTTTGCTCTCCAGTTGGACTTGAGTCCTGTGTTCTATCATAACAAATGTTCTTTGTCTTGTATAACAACATTGGATTTTAGTATGAATTTTTGTCTTCCTATCGTTGAATTAATTCTGAATTTTTCTGACTGTTACGTTCAAAGTTCAAACAGATTGAGTGGTATATATATGCCCGTTGATACTACTAATCTCGTCACCACCTATGACATAAATCCCATCCTTACTACTCAATAGGAGAAAAATCGAGGAATAATGGGATCAGTGTAAGCTGAATCTAATAGCAATAATGCATCGACATGGAGTGTCCTAACTGACTCACTACTACAGGAGTCGAGTGTTCACTGTAGAAGAGGGATGCTAATATTCTTTATATGTAATTTTTTTTAATTTATTTTTTATTTTTATCATATATGTTGTGGTGGGACCCAAATTCTATGGGATTTGGTGTTTGGTTGAGTAGAAAGTCTGAGGAATTTTTGTTTTAAGAGTCCTAATTAATGGAGATCAAATTTGATCAAGGATTGGGAGTTTAGCTTGAAAAATGACTTCGGAATGGTGAAAACATCATTGGAAAAATTAAACCCTAGAGTGGAGAGCTGCAGCGCAGAGGCACCACGAAGAAATACCGGCGTAGAGGCGCTTGACGGATTTTTTGAAATTTTGTGGATTTTATGAATTCTTCTATATATATTCCACATTGTCGTATCTCCACATGCACATTCAACAACATCTTGAAAGTTAGAGCATTTAGATTTTAATTGAGAGTATTGAGATCTTGATATTGTAAACATAATTACTATTGATTATAGTGAATTTCTTCCTTTCTGCCCATGATTTTTTCTTATCTTGGAATTCCACATAAATCTTTGTGTTCTTATTTTGTTCTTAGTTATTTTATTATTGTCATTATCTTATGATGAATTCATAGCACTACGTTTAAGCTTGACAAGATGGGTATTCACTGTGAATTGAGTTTTGATCTTATCTCAAATTTTTTCAATCGGAAGAAAGTGAAGCATTCTTCATCTCACTTCACTGTCAACAAGGAGATACTGCTGAACTTTGATGGCATATTTGTAAGGTTGAGTTGATGAAAGTTATTAAGAATAGAATAATTTAAAATATCATCAATAATACTGTCCAGACCAGACCAGACCAATTCAATATTACATGCTTAAGTGAGTCACTAAAATTGAAAATAACCCTGTATAATAAAACTACTGTGGCAAATTTTTCAGAATAGCCCTCGTGTGTGACAAAAGTGAAAAGTGCCCACTAATAATTTTTCCGTTCAAAAGACTTGTTATAGATCAAATGTCTAATTTTACTTGTAATGATCTTCATCTTCCTCACTTACCCTCATTCCTATCTATATCCCAGTCCTCCCCGTCCCCTCCATGCATGTGCCTCTTCCTCTGTTCCCAGTTCTGCATCCCCCGTTACTCGGCCGTGTCCAGCAGCTTCCTAAGTTACTACTATGGAGCTGCTCGATAAAGTCCCAACCACCTGAGTAGCCAGTATGGCAGGAGAGAGGGGCAAACGCTAAAGGAAAAGCAATAGGATGGCAAAAGGGAGAGTTGGGACAGAGGCGTTGGGAGTATTGAGGTGAGGAACAAGACGTGTTTTCAGGGCATCATAATTGGGGACAAGGATGACTTCAATATCAATATGCTACCAAACAAGAGTATAAAATGTTAAAATACAACTCCACTGGTGTCAAACCATTCCAAGAGTCCATTAATTTGCATCACCTCTCAAGAAGAAGCGAGGGGGGGAAAACAGTAGATTAATTCAGTTCACAACAAGAGCACACAAACATATATGACATTACAATATTCAACTGATACAAATCGCACTCCCTTGAAATCCCAGTTCCACTGTTCTCTGGACTAGCAGAAAAGTACTACAAATTTTGCAAACTTCTATCAGACATGAGTTGTACTACCGACATAGAAACGATGAATGACACAACCACAACAATGCATGTAGACGAAAATACCTAACATTTTCTCCTTCATTAAAATGACAAGTAATACTAACTTCATTCATACTCAACATGGATATCAACTAACCAAAAAAGGTTGTACCAAGATTTGAAGCTTACTCGAGTAACAATTTAACTAGAGGAGCTTGTCACCGTCACTGGAGTGAAAACATATATTTCACAGCCGTGAGGATCAACTGTAGCAGTGAATGAGGACACGGAATCCAGAGAAACCAATTCATGCTGCAACCAACAAGAACAGGAAAGATAAAAGAAACCATAATATGTTCTGAATCAATCCGGAAAAGAAAGAGAAAAAAGAGGAATATACAAGGAAATTAGAAGAGGATGGTGATAATGGTGAAATTTCCTTTTTCATTGTGTTCACAATCATTTCAGTGGCAGTGAAAAGAAGAGATATTCCTCAGCCCACAATTTCAGTGGCATTAACAATAAAGGGAAAAATGAAAATTGAAAAGCGTTGACTCATAGCCACCGAGATCACTGCAATCATGTCAATTTGCGATGCTTAATAGCCATAGTTATATAATATGCTGCTCCAACACAATTTCAGAATGTCTGGAAAAAACATGGAAGTGCAAAGAGAGAGGATAAACAAATAAAAAACCTGAGAACTAAAAAGAAATAAGCAAAAGAAAATATTTATCACAGGGGCCTAAGACGATGAAAATAATGAAGTGCCACGATCAGGCAATCCTTATGGTTATGGGGTCTAAAATCATTTATGGCTGTTGATGACAATTTATTCTAGAGGTAATTGCATGTATATAATCGACAAAAAAGGAAACATTATTGACAAGCCCCTCATTCGACCATGAAATGCTTTACAGATGGGATTAAATAGAGAAACACTACTCACCTTCCATAAGTCTCTTACAGAGACAATGGTAGAAGACTCAAGTCCTAGTGCAGCCCAGTTAACAGTAATAGTGGCAATTTTTGAACACCGGTTCCACAGAGCAACAACGAGACGGCTTCCGGACAATGGACCCGCCCAAACCTTAATACAAAATTAATGGCCATGTCATGTATCAGAGTGAAAGTCAAGGAACGCAACCTAACTCAACCTTTACATTTTATGCTAAAACATCAATCTTGCTAAGTGGAAGTTTTACTTATATATTTAATTTTTTCTCTTGCAGAACTATATAAGTTATCATATGAAAGCAGTCATTTAAATTCAAAAATTTATTTCAAAGTAAGCTGATGAATGGAAAGGAAAAATAACTCATGGTCAATTGATAGACGAAGGTTTAATGTACAGAAAATAAAACATATCAGATAAGAAACCTGAGAACTACTCATAACAAAACTTGTTTGTGTAAGCCAGGGTAAAAAATTTCTGCACAAGAGGTTTGAAGTCACATGCTGACATCCAAATACTGTATTATATTCACTAAATTATCATCACCAAACACGTTCAACGTTTCAAGGATGAATATTCAATGGATTAACATCATTGCAGATTGCGGAATGTATTCTGTTTAAAATAAACGAGGGGAAGTGCAAAAGATGCAAGAGTCTACACCTGATAGCAACCATCAGGCCCATATGCATAAACTTTTCTTCCTTGAACCCCAAGTGGATCTGCAAGCAGAGATAAGATTTTACTTGCTTTAATGGCTTAAAATAACCTCTATAATTTATCTAGATGGAAATACAAGGGCAAAGCCTGAACAAGGACTGGTTCGATCCATCCTATTGATTCGACTCATACGAATTAATGTGTCTTCCAAATAGAAATAAGGATCTAAAATAACCCAGCAATGTCCATCTCCATTTCATTTTATTATATTTTCTTGTGCAATCCTTCTGTCCAAACACAAAATGAAGTATTTTACCTTGATTTACAGCAATAACTTCCTCATTGCTTATAATTTCCAATGTCTCTGCACTCATGTTTCTTACATCACAACCAATCAAAAGAGGAGCCTGCACATTCAACAAAACGCCAATTAATTCATGAAGGATCAAGAAGGGGAATGTTCTTTTATGTTGATATCTAGAATACTGCATTGTTGGACAATGGTTTTGATGAAAGATTCATGCATTTAAGCTGGTGGATGTCAAGTTATTAAAAGGAAGACACCACAAAAATATAGTACCGTATTACTCTTGAAAAACGTTTTGTATCTTGGGAAACAAACATCCAATTTCTGACTAACACCAGTGTAGGGTGCAAATTCTCTCTTAATGAGATTTGCTACGAGCACACAATCTTTCCATTCACTAATTTATAATAGCACCTTAAGCTTTTTCTATATTTGGTCTGGTCATTTTCCTACTAAAAAAATAAAAATAAAAAGACAGAGTCCCAGCCCCAGCTATAGAAGGTACCTGAATACCATATTGAAGCTGCTGACAGAAAAAACTGACCCACAAAGCTAAAAAGTAATCAACAATTCTCAGCTATGATGGTCTCATGCAAGCAAATGTGATAACATTGTGGTACTCCTTAGTTCTTAAAACTAGCAGTTAAGTCGAAACTCGTTAGTTTAAAAGCACCTTCATCAAAGCCCAAATGCTAAAATGTGCTCGGTACTCCTGGTAAGTCATTCCCCCATTTCCAACTTCTAACATATCTGGATCTGCCAAAAATTGTCAAGGCAATAGCATTAAAATCAGAGTATCAAAAGAGAGTTGGGGAGCTGAAAATGCACTCAACTATAGAGAATAGATCATATTCCTACCATTCCATCCACCAGGCCCCGCATAGGCTGCCCATTTGTCATTGATATCAGCAATTGTAGTCATGCTAAAAAAAAACAGAACAGAAGTATCAATACAGAACAGAAGTATCAATACAGCCTTTGATAGATCCCATGTCACAACAAATACCTTTAAATAAGCAAAACACAACAAAATTTTCTCTCAAAAAAAAAAAGAAAAAAATGCTTTCTAGTGAAACAACATCAACATATTATTATTATTTTTTTAATTTTTATGGTTCATGGTCCTCTTAAAAGGCCATTTAAAACTATAAAATTGGAATTGATTCAAACATGCGGGATAATGCAGTGTAAAGCCTAGATTGCACACCAAACAGTTTAGACACAGGACTTCAGAACCTTTCCCAATTATCTTTGATGTCTCCTGTTGTTCGCCAACTGTTTCCAATCTTGCCTGCCCATAAGGCAGGGTCATTCAAGCCCCTTCAAATTGTAGAGAAAGCCACTCTTAGAGTGCAATTGAAGATTTTAGATCTAACAAGAAAAGATAAACATTAGAAAAATGGAGCCCTGAAATGATAGAAATTACCATTCACATAGTGAATAGAATATGGTCCGTCCAGTTGCATTTAGGGCATCATGCATTGGCGGGAACCTGAGAAACGTGGAACCAAAGTTAGATGAACATATAAGTTTCAAGTTATGAAATAAAACAAGATGCAAACCTTTCTTCTGGTTTGATGCTTAGATTGAAACAGTTGTCATACTTCAAGTAATCGATGCCCTAAAGAACAACAAACAGGGAACATTTAAGAGCCATTGTAGAAAATATGCCATTAACAAAGAAAACATAATACCATAGATGAGAAACACCAAATCCTTTGCATCATCAACTATCAAGAAACTTCAAAATTGAATAGTATTTAATTGGTTTCCTGAAGATTAAATATATTCCATAAAGGTTTCAGATTTGAAATTAAATGAATTAAGCATATATGAGAGAAAATAGAATTTCCAAAAAAAAAAAAAGGAGAACACTAACCCATGATGCAAAACGTGCTGCATCATCATTTTCATGTCCAAGTGATCCAGGATGAACTTGACATGTAAAAGTCCTGTGGTGTTTCAATTGCAGCAGTATATTCCACTTAATTGCGACAAAACAGTAACAGTGCTAGTGTTGTCATTGTGACCAGATATTAGGAAATTCTTTTTACCCTGCATCAGAGTAGATGCCAAGCTTGAGGCCCTTTGAGTGCACATAATCAGCAAGAGCTTTAATTCCTGATGGAAACATTCCAGAATCAGGAACTAATTGACCCTGCACAACCAGTCCAGCCAATAATCGAAATGAGAAACTTCATAACTGTATCATTTCTATTTATCGTCGGCTAAATTATTTTTTGATATGCTTCAGTAAACTGGGACAACATCAATTGAAATAAAAATTTCAACTTCCCCGAATGGAAAAAAATACCGATCCCTCTGCCGAGCACAGAATTTAACGTTAGCATGGTCTTTGGTAACTTAATGCACAAAAAACATTACAGTTAAGAGAGTTCATAGCAGCAAATTGAAGACATCTTTAATTAATATACATTTGCTTCTCTCTAATGGCTTAAGCTTTTAATCAAGTGATTTAACATGTTAGGCAAAGCTCCTCGGTTTAAGTCTTGCTGCCACTATTTAATGAAATCGTGCACGTGTCAGGCTTTTACGATAAAAACTTTGCCTACATGTGATGGGATGTGTTGAAGACAAGATTTAGATGATACACATGTTGTCTTCTCTAACAACTTAAGATTTTAGATCAAGCAGTTTAGCAGTGGTTTACCTCCGAATCCCGCACCAATTCAGACCAGCAATCATCTACATTTCACAATAATGAATAGATAAGAAAAGGCAATTACCGAACTTGAAACTTGTTCAAAGACACGCCAGTTGGTTACCTATATTCACATAATCATAGCCTAACTTCGCCAAACCAGTTGAAATAAGCGCATCGGCTGTCAAAGAGCAAAATAAAGGTTACTAATCTTTAATAGCTTCAATAAGTAAACTGAAAATTTAAAAAGTATCTAGAAAACGATGAAACTATAGGTGTATTTGACAACCTTTGAAATTTTAATTTGTTTGCTACAGTATGATTCTCTACCACACATTCATTAAATAAAATAGTCGATACATAAATCAATAAAATTTCTTTACTTTTAACCACACATTCCCCAACAAATACTATTCAAAACTCTTTAATTTACCTAATAATGGGTGTCAAAAAGGGGCTATATTAAACCTGTATTTTAAAGTTTTCACCTTCTTCAACACATCAATTATCTTGAGCCTAAAACATGAAACTACAAACAACATTGTGGAACAAACAACTGCCCAATTATCAAGCGATAATAATTGCACAGATAAGCAGTTACCCGTTTCCTTGAAAATTTTTTCACTGATATTGCAGGCAAAGAAATTCCAGCTATTCCATCTGGCCACAAAAATAATAATAATAAAAAATTAAATCGAATCAGCTCTTCAATGAAAACCAGAAATTTTATTAAATAAGAATTAACTAGAAACCAGATGCTTGAAAATGATCGATGATTACGTTTGCATATACCTAACTCCAAATTTTAGTTAGGAAGACGTGTGTATCAATTATTTTCTTTTAAAACCAAAAATATTCTTAACCAACATCAGAACAGAAATGAAAAAATCTTCAATATCAAGAACTTGAATTACGCAAAAATCCAACTTTTGCTTTTACAATACAAACAAATGCTAATATCAAGTCATTAATTTCAACCCAAGATCAAATAAAAATTAAGTAAAAAATTAACAAAAGGGAAAATTATGCTACCCCATCTGAGGCGTCTTGGCCAATCCATTGCCGATCTGTAAAATACCATAATTCGAAGTATCAAAAATATTGGTTATGGGTTTTTCAAGGCCACTCAAATAAGGATGCACTGACAGCACTCTTGCTGTGACCGCCACTGACATGACATATAAGTAACATGCCGCGGCAAAATAAGCACTGATCTTAGCCATAAACGGAAGTCAACAATCTTTCTTCCCCTGTCCTCTCTGTGGGTTTATGGAGAGAATTGGGAGAACTGTCGGTAAATATTCTAGAGACTGTAGTAATAAAAAATTTGCACATGATTAATGGACCCCAATTTTAAACAACTTTAACACATAATGAGATATTCTTTTGGATCCTGCTTTGTTCATAAGCATTAGATGCCTGTACTTGTATTGGAACTCTTTGTCAGCATTTTGGTGATGTTTATAGACATGCGGCTCTTTCTGGAAGACACCCTTCTTGTTTACAATAGTTTTATTTAAAGTGATCGTGTACTGGACTCTCTGTGTGAATGGAGTAAGACTTCAATTCTATCTATAGTGAGCAATTACAAAAGAGGGAAAATGAGTTGGAAAGGCCACCCTAATAGACATTTTGTTCAATTGGCCTTTGACCAAAATTATAAAAATAAAAAAAAATTTAATTATTTAAAAGTGTCAAAAGACTTTTTTACACATCTTTAATGCATTTATTTGTTAGGATAATTGTTGTAGTCGCTAATTAAAGATTGATTTCGTAAAGTCACTTGACAAGGAATATGGATCTCAATGGGCGCAGGAAATTTATTGACCCCTAATTATATCCTGCATTAATAAGTTAAGACGTAGAGTCTGTTTGGGAGTGATTTTGAAAATTGATTTTTTGACCATTGGGAGAAAAGTGAGGCACACCTGTAAAAGAAGAAGTCAAATATGACGGCTGAAATAGTGAACTAACGATCAAAAAATCAATTTTTTAGACCAAAAAATCACTCCCAAACAAGCTGTTAGTTTGTGAATTTATTATTAAATTAAAATTAAATTTTAACAATAACCCACCGGTTGAACTATTGACCCGGTGATTTTTTTCGAGTAGATTATCGGGTTGGCTCTAATATCTATACATTCATGTTCTAACACACACAACATTCTCTTCATTCGAATTCAAAAAATCTTCCCCTTCAAAATTATCTTCTCGTTAGAATTTGAACTCTTCTTTTTAAGTTTAAGGTCATCTCTTCTTCGTAATAGATCTCCGATGCACCCAAAGTTTTAACATTGTCCATAACTTAGCAACTAATTGAAAACAATTATTGAGTCATTTATTCATTAGACAACAATTAATTGAAAACAATTATTAAGTCATTTATTCATTAGACACCTATTATAACACGTGAAATTTTTTAAAATAAATTTTATCGTTATATTTTGAAAAAAAAAATGGACAAAAAATATTTTTTAAATTTCTATCTTATTTAGAATCCAATAATTAGATTTTAATAAAAAGCGATGTAGTATATCGATATTGGACTCATTTTAAAGTTTGTAATTAATAAGAACTATTCGACTAAAAAAAAGTCGATTTGGATAAGTCAGCACCAAGGTATTTGCAGTTTGAAGAAATCGTAAAATTTAACTTATCAACTTAATAAAAATGTGGAATGGAAATGAGCTGACACTGTTTCGCTGATTTGCATAAAGACATTGAAATCGTTCCTGAAATATAAAACGACTTCGATATCGTTTCAACATCGAATACACTCTACTTGACTGATTTGTATAACGACATTGAACTCGTTCCTAAAATACAAAAAATAATATTTATGTCGTTTCGATATCAAACACACATAGGTGCACGCTATGGAATAAGTAAACAACATTATGTCTTTTCAATTCAATTTTCGACGAGAATGATATCGTTCATATTCAATCGTAACTATAATGTCATACATATCGTTTTAGGAGTGGTTACACTAGAACGTTATAACTACGATATTAAATGTAATTATAATTTACATATTTTCGTGACTTTTTATAATTTTCAAGTTTACATATTGTACATATTCAGAATGTAAATATTGTGCATATTCATGTAACGATATACACTTCGTTCCGGTGACATATAAAGTCGTTGATGTCGTTCTAGTATAAAATGCTCTTATTCTAATAACGATTTTGAAACTTCCCCCTAGGCACAAAATAATAACTAGAACGACATATGCATCGTTTCTTTTCAAATTTAACGAGTTTGAAATCATTACAGTTTAAATAATAATTAGAACGACATATGATGACCGAAAGAAGGCATCAAGTGGATTGATAGCACTCGAATAGCTTAGAAAAAGCGAATGGAGATACTGTCTTTCTTTCTATTGAATGATATCGAACTCACTTAGTGACTTATTTTATCATCCTACATACGATAAATATATGTCAGGTGACCATGGACAATCGAATCGTCATTTTTAAAATTATCCTTTTAGTTAAGATTTAAACTAAAGCGATATCAATATTATCAAAATTGTACTAAAGCGATAATAGTATCATTATGTATCAAACCCACAAAATAAGACAATGACTTCCAAATCGTTATAGTACAAATTTAATGATTTTGAAATCATTCCAATTCAAATCACAATGATAACGACATAGATACCGTTTATTTTTATATAAAACGATATTTATATCGTTTTAGCTAAATATAAAGATTCGATCGTTCACAACCACCTGTTATGCTTTCAGTATATGTAGAACGATCGAAAAAGGTCATTAAGTGGATTGATATCAATTGAATGACTTAAAAAGGGCGAACGAAAATACTTTTTTGTCGAAATAATTCGAAGGTGGTATACAATTATGAGAGCAAAAATGTTCTCATAATTTCTTTCAAGGGAGATCGAACCCACTTAATTACCTATTTTGATCATCCTACATATGTCAGATGCATGCTTGGTAGTCGTTCGAATCATTATTTTTAGCAGAAACGATATAAGTATCGTTTTATTTTAACTGAAACGATATGTATTTAGTTTTAGTTATGATTTAAGTTAAAACGATATCAACGTCATCAAACTTGTATTGAAATGATAATGATATCGTTATATATCAAAATCACAAATAAAGTAACGACATTCATATCGTTTAAGCACAAATTTGATGAGTTTGAAATCGTTCCAATTCAAATCACAAGTATAACGATGTAGATATCGTTTCTTTTCATATAAAACGATAATTATGTCGTTCTAGCTAAAAATAACGATTCGACCGTCCACAACCACATGTCATGCTTCAACATACATAAGACGATCGAAAGAGGTCATCAAGTGGGTTGATACCACTCAAATGATTTAAAAAGAGTGAACGAAAATACTTTTTGTTAGAATTGTTTGAAGATGGTATACAATCATGAGAACAAAAATATTCTCATAATTTCATTTGAGTGAGATCGAACCCACTTGATTACCTATTTTGATCATCCAACATATGTTAGATGCATGTCTGGTGGTCGTGAACGGTCGAATCGCTATTTTTAGCAAAAACGATATAATTGTCGTTTTATTTTAACTGTAACGATATGTGTGTAGTTTTAGTTATAATTTAAACTAAAACGATATTAACGTCATCAAACTTGTACTGAAACGATAATGATATCGTTATATATTAAAATCACAAATAAGTAATGACATTCATATCGTTTTAGCACAAATTTGACGAGTTTGAAATCGTTCCAATTCAAATCACAAGTATAACGACGTAGATATTGTTTCTTTTCATATAAAACGATAATTATATCGTTCTATCTAAAAATAACGATTCGACCGTCCACAACCACCCGTCATGCCTTCAACATATGTAAGACGATCGAAAGAGGTCATCGAATAGGTTGATACCGTTTGAATAACTTAGAAAAAGCAAACGAAGATACTTTCTATTGGAACAGTTCGAATGTGGTATATAATCATGAGAACAAATATGTTCTCATAGTTTCTTTTGAGGGAGATCGAACCCATTTAATTATCTATACCTATTTTGATAAATATGTCAAATACACGTCTGGTGGTCGTGAACGGTCGAATTGTTATTTTTAACATAAACAATATAATTGTCGTTTTATTTTAATTGAAACGATATGTATGTAGTTTTAGTTATGATTTAAGTTAAAACGATATCAACGTAGTCAAACTTGTATTGAAACGATAATGATTTCGTTATTATCAAAATCACAAATAAAGCAACGACATTCATATCGTTTTAGTACAAATTTGACGAGTTTGAAATCGTTCCAATTCAAATAATGACTATAACGACATAGATATCGTTTCTTTTCATATAAAACGTTAATTATATCGTTTTGACTGAAAATAACGATTCGATCATCCACAACCACTCAACACGTCTTTAACATAGCAAGTAAGATCGAAAGAATACATCAAGTGGGTTGATACCACTCGAATGACTTAAAAAGAGCGAACGAAGATACTTCTTTTTGTCGAAATAATTCGAATGTTGCATACAATTGTGGAAACAGAAATATTCCCATAGTTTCTTCTGAGTGAGATCAAACTCACTTGATTATCAATTTTGAGCATCCTACGTATGTCAGATGCATGTCCGGTTGTGGTGGACGGTCAAATCGTTGTTTTTAGCATAAATGATATAATTATCGTTTTATTTTAACTGCAACGATATGTATGTAATTTTAGTTATGATTTAAACTAAAACGATATAAACGTCGTCAAACTTATATTGAAACGATAATGATGTCGTTATGTATCAAACTCGCAAATAAAGTAACAACTTTCATATCGTTTTAGTACAAATTTGACGAGTTTGAAATCATTCTAGTTTAAATAATGACTATAACGATATAGATATTATTTCTTTTCATATAAAACGTTAATTATATCGTTTTGACTGAAAATAACGATTTGACCATCCACAACCACTCAACACGTCTTTAACATACCTAGGACGATCGAAAGAAGTCATCAAGTGGGTTGATGACATTCAAATGGTTTAGAAAGAACGAACGAAGATACTTCTTTCTGTCGAAATATTTCGAATGTTGTATACAATCGTGGGAATGGAAATATTTCCATAGTTTCTTTTGAGTGAGATCAAACCCACTTGATTATCTATTTTGAGTATCCTACATATGTCAGATTCATGTCTGATGGTTGTGGACGGTCGAATCATTATTTTTAGCAAAAACGATATAATTGTCGTTTTATTTTAATAGCAACGATATGTATGTAGTTTTAGTTATGATTTAACCTAAAACGATATCAACGTCGTCAAACTTATATTGAAACGATAATGTTGTCGTTATGTATCAGACTTACAAATAAAATAACGACATTCATATCGTTTTAATACAAATTTGACGAGTTTGAAATCGTTCCAGTCCAAATAATAACTATAACGACATAGATATCGTTTCTTTTCATATAAAATGTTAATTATAACATTTTGACTAAAA